CGAGAGATTCAGAATTTCTAACCATGTTATGCGTTACAATGACAAATATGCACCAAACTGAATAAATAAACAAAATACTATACTATTGAATCATGTACTGCAAACCAAATGGAAAAAGGTCAAAGGCCTGGTTTTTATATATTTCAATTAGAAAATTCTCTATGAAGCAATACATCAAACACATAGAAGGCATTAGTATCAAGTCTTAAGATACTATTGCCAATTTGCCATAAATGATTTCATATTTCCTTAAAATCTCTTGAAATCTAAACTTGTAAAAAAAGAAATTCAGATCAATAACCAAACTGAGGAAGGATATACCGATCATGATGATAGTTATAAAAAGAAATTAGCAGCATATGTTGAATTATGCGACATATTGTGCTCAGGGGTTGCTGATATTTCATTCTCGATTTATGTATTTTCTTCACCATCCATGTGATACCAAAACAAGTCCGTTGAAGAAAGATCAAAACATTTAATCATACAGTAAATTACCTTTTGCATACTAATGTCAAGATTTCCTTGCGTATGAGAAGTCATGTTATTGGATGTGTGTAGAGAGAAACACATGCAATTCAACAATCATCGTATTCAAATTGTGAAACAACGGAGACGGTGAGGAGAACGGAAGGAGAAATCTAGGGCTCGAATATAAAAAACGAAAACACAAAAAATAATGGAATTGATAGGGATGAAACGCAAATGAAGTCGATTACATACCTCGTTGATCCGTCGATACGTCAAAGTGATCCATCGATACGGCACAATTGGAAATGATTCGGCGGGAATCGACTTTGATGTCTAGTGGCGTCGTTTGGAAGGTGGGTTACGTGGCATCCGAAGAACCGTGTTAATTTACTCTAAATGGCACCAGATAAATAAGGTTTTTATTATATATACTAGAAACGTTTGAGGTCCGTACTTATGGTAATTAGGGTATTTCTTTCACCATTATCTAACTTATATGATGCTAAGTGGATTTTCAATGTAGAATTCTTGAATTTTAAATGAAAATGGAAGTATATGCTTATAATTACAAGTACATTACTATGCTTGGTAAAAGATTGCAAGTACATTGTTATTTTGGGAAAAAAACTATAAATTCATTGTTTTTACATGTAAAAAGTTATGTACAATAATAATATTAATATAAAAAGTAAAATTTGTTAGTGCTTCCATATTACTATTTTTTTGTTATATTAGTGAAAAAAATGTCATGATCAATTCACTTTTTCTCATTAAGACATTGTACATTGAAAACTACCCGCTTATAATAACATTGAACTGCAATGACATTGATAATATGAAATATGGCTCATTATTAAAACTTTAGCAATGGAAAAGTAAGTTTTGCTTGTATTCTTTTCTATTTGTTATGCCTGCACCATAAATTGTAGTTCTTTTTCTAACTTTTACGGCAAATGTATAATATTTCTAAATATAGAAAAAAAATTTAAGCTAAAAACTTTTAACATCATTGTTGTAAATATAAGAATTTTACTATTAAGACATTGTATGTCTAAATTCTTACCAATTATAACATTAGCCTTTCAATTATACATTTTTTTACGAAATACGAAAAGATGAACTTTTTGTGTGTCATCTATTTAACAAATATAAAGATACAAAGTTTGAATCAAGGCATACTACAAAACTGTAGCATCTATAATATTCAAAAGTTTAATCAGATTAACGATGAAGCAGTTACATATATTTTTACTCTATATGATCGTCATGTGTAATGTGCAACAGATGAAAATACATTCTATACAGATGTAGATCAATCAATGTTGGTCAAGGAACTATTGTCCATATTTATTTTTTGACGAATGTTGCAAAGGTAACTTAAACTTAGAAGAATTAAAAGCCAATATGACTTTACCATTTACAATATGACCTGAATCATTTGAATGAATAAATTCTCAATTTTCTAAACTTACTTTTAGGAATTATAAACACTCTTTAATCGCTATTTATCAAATGTTGTATAACAATAAATCTAATAAAATAATTTTTTAAAGTTTAGAAACCAGGAACGTAGAGATCCGCCCCTGTACGGTTCCGGTCAATTTTGCAGAGTATCCGCCTATGCTCACCTCAAGTGTAAATATCAAGTTCATAAGACTACTTGGTATGGGACGGAAACGTTGTGTAGGCGCTTACGTGGCACCTCCACAACGACGGTAGAACGCCAGGAACACCACCCCCAATTACCATTCAGGTATAAGGCGTGGTAACGACAACGCCCATTTTTTCGTTCTTCCTTCCTCTGTGTTTCTTCTTTCTTGGCCTCACAACTGCATTGAAGGCTTGGAACACCACCCCCTAAAAATGTGGAAAAAGAATATTTATGTTGATGTGGCCTTTCAACGGTGTTATTCTTTCTTGACCCATACCCGATACTCTAATACTTAGAATTTGAAGTTTTATCTGATTGTTCCTAATAAGGCTGGCATTTACATCAGGACATTCAAAACAACATTGTTATTTATTGTGTTTAGAATATATTAGAACCCAACATTTATGGAATTTAATTTACAAAAGGCTTCAACTCACACAAGAAGCCCTTAACTAACCGTACTGTCATAAGATCTAGAATGAACTATTGAACATCTAATCTGTAATAGATTTTGAAAGGCACAAGCCACTAGGACAACATCTTAAAAGATCAATCTATTATAAAAATAATTCTAAGGGTAATAAAATTTTTTATGAGTAATCTCCAATCCAATTCCTCGATTTGCATCGGTCACCAGTAGATTATACAGACCACAATCTAAAGGTTCCCATAATGAAAACCGTAAATTATGCATTTCAATTATGAACTAATATAATAAGTAACTTTATCATGAGGTTGAAAGTCACAGTTTCATTGTTCATGCCACATTAAAAACAAGAAGGATCATACATAATATATAAATGTATCCTTTGGTTGTCCGAAAATGAATTATAGGGAGAAGAGAAGAGGTATCTGCTGAAGCGGTTAAAAATGAATGTAATAAACAAATGCCATTATCCATAAATGAGTTGAAAGCATATCATCAAAGATTAACTACTAACTCTCTTCGGTTACTTATTGCCTGTATATAGAAGGAATAAAGCTAGTTAAATTAGATTGTGGAGGAAGGAAAAAAACCAAAACAAAAAGTGGTGAGATGGAGTCATGGAACAGTAAGAAAATGGCAGACATTGACACATTGTTATCCTCTTCAAATATCAACAGCCTGGCATTTTGGAACAAATATAAGAATAAAAGCTATAATATTAGGCATAAACCTTGCAGATGCATTAGTTGTATTGAGATCACAAACAAAACACTTTTTGCATTAACATTCCATAACAATGTCAAAAGAGATGTCAATCTCGTAGTTCATGATATCAATTCCAATGATCCTTATATTCCATCGGAATGGGTAAATAGTTTTGGCCCTCTCATGTCTCTACCAATTTTATGTTTCATGGTTTCTTCGATTTTAACTATTGTAATTCAAATTCCTAATCACAATATATACTTTTGAATATTTATTGAAATGCAACAAAGCTACAGAAAGTTAAACTTTACCTTTTTCAATAAGTTCATTTGAAATTACACTCATATACACAGACTCTTTTCATATATTTCACCCTTCTCTTCTTCATTTGGTCCACCAATTGTCTCATCAAGCATCTATATATGATAAATAAAAACATATCCAATTAACAAAAGCTACACTAAATTATCTCATGAACAATTATTTATTTCACCCGTTTTCCATTTGGGGAGTGAATCAAATCCGAGTGAAATTGAAGTTTTCAGCAATGTCAAAGACAGAAAGACAGTAAAGTTCTTATATTTCAATCCTAGATAATTTTTTGTTCTATGTACACGCTGTAAAACATGATTATGCAAACAGTTCCCATTGACAGTTTCATCATTAATTTGAAAACTGCCCAAGTCAATTGAAAATACATGACGAATCGACCAAAGCCCAAAAACCGTGTACAAAAACGAACCAAATTATCAACGTACATGAAGATAGTGGCTCTCTCACGATCTGAATAAGAAAGAAATATTGACTATAACATACATAAAATAAAAAACTTTAGGAACCCTAAAAAACTAAAAACCATTGATTTTTTTACCGATGTAAAACCCATAGATTAATTCAAGAATTTTCTAGGGGAGAGCCATTTAACTATAAATAGAAAATCGTAAATTGATTTCTGAAGGGAAGAGATCGAGGGATAAAAGAAAAGAGAAAGAGAGAAGACAGTATCGGAAAATCAATAGCGAACACAAGAATTAAAACCATAGATGGTGAATGAAAATCTACTCAATTTATCGAATTAGGGAAAATTTTGTGGGTCTTGTTGAACACCGGAAGCGAGTGTAGCAACATTAGAACCCAAAATTTTAAAAACAGTTACCTGAGCAACCAGAGTATCTACCAAACGGATATGCTAATCCAATTTGATGGGCGTAGTTGTCGTTCAAATGTTGACTGATGTGGCGTCCTTAGAAACGTATAAATGCGTTGTAGACAATATCGAAGAAGAAGATGTATATATAAAAAGGTGAGGCATCGAAGGAAGGAGAAACAATGATAAGAAGAACTGAATAGATGTATTGGTAAATCACGTTGTTCCGAGGGTGGGTTACGTGGACGAATCGGGAGTTCTGATTAGAGGAAAGGCGGAGTCATTGAGTTTGTGAATGTGATGGAGGATGAGAAACGTTGAAAGAGGGGTGATTGACGTCTATTGTGGTACGATGTGTCGTTTGGAAAGTAGGTTACGTGGCGTTAGACGAACAGTGTAAATTTGATTTTAGAGGCACGGCAAAAATAAGGTTTTTTTATAATATATATATATATATATATATATATATATATATATATATATATATATATATATATATATATATATATATATATCACTAATATATTTTTGTATTTGTTTTGATTTCTTTTTTCATTTTTGATAAGTTGTCAAAAAGAAAAGGGACATTGTTTGATCAGATGTTTCATTTCACCATATTTGAAAAATACTTTTCATATTTCCCTTCTTCCTTCCTTCTTCCTTCGTCCGGTGACACCAACCACCGCCGCCCTACCACCGGCAAACAACGTTACTCCAACGACTTTCCACCACCAGCACCACCTCCTCTGTTCACTTCGGCCGCCGTCTCCTCAGTTCACTTCTGCTACCGTCATCTCCGATCTCCGATAAACCACCAAATTTGCATCAGATCTGACTTGATTTACATCAGATTTCATCAGATCGTGATCTCGAAACCTCCACCACGAATCAGATCTAGATCTAAAAATCACCACCACTAAAAACGACAACTGATGCCTCCGGGGAACTGAAATCAACCACCGTTGGCCCACCGTCACCACTTCTCTCATCCGTTGCCTTCTCCGGCGACATCACTTTTTTCAATGAAGCACCTGGACAATGTTCCTTCCGCTACCTCCCGTTCCAAAACCTTAGGCGAAACTTGAAACATGCAACTCCATCAATGAGGCTCTTAGATCTGAAGTGGTGTGGTCCAGATCTATGATCTCCGGTGAAAAATAATAATTTTCGACTTTAGATCTTTGATTTACACCTCCGGATTTACGAGCTCTGACGATATTGCCAGACCAGATCATAGAGCGCCGCTAACCGCCACCGTCGCTGCTGCCTTGCGCTCCAGTGAAACACCGGCAACTCGTCTCCATCTCTCTCTCTTTCTGATCTCCAGTAAAACACCACCATATATGCATCAGGTATGTTGACTTTTGCTTTGATTGTTTTCTCTTCTATTAAGTTATGAACTTAATGTTTAAATCTCTTATTTATTTGTTTACTTTTCTTAATAAGGCTATGAATTCATACATTAACAAAATATAAGACGAGATCTGTAAAAAATGAAAAACAAATAAAAAAAGCATCCGAGACATTTTTTCACATCTCTGAAACCACTTTGCTTCTTAGTCTATGTAGAGTTGTGCAGAGTCTGTACAAAAAAACTCATTCCAGAAAAATGAAATATAGAATATCAATTCAATTTTTCCTTGATAAGGTCGTAAAGTGTAAAGAAAAAGAAGAGAAACCCTCTTCCCAATACATCAATACTAAGCTCTGAATGCACAAGTATTTGTTTTCTACTTGTTTTTCTACTTGCATCTGTTGTAGATCTATATGATATAGTTTTTTTTGTTTTTTTTTCTGTTAAAGTGTGAATTGGATGTTTTAGTCTCTCATTTGTCGTATAATTTTGTTAATCTTAGTTTTAACTGCTATTAAGTTGTGAATGTATAATTTTTTTGAATTAAACTTTGAATTTATTATACTAGTTTGTGAATTTTCTATATTAAATTGTATATTAATTGTAATAAGTGTTTTAAGTTGATAATATGGTTGTGGATGCATACTTATTGTGTATTAAACTTTGAATTTTGTGTACTAAACTATGATTTTTGTGTTTTAAACTGTGAATTGACTGCATTAAACTGTGAATTTTCTTCTTAGACTATGAATTGACTATATTAAGCTGTGAATTTTGTGTATTAAATTATGAATTGATTGTATTAAGCTGTGAATGAATTGACATTAAGCTGTGATTATTTTATAATTTTTTTGTTTGCTTTTGATATAATGTAAATTTTATTCACGGCTTAATATATTAAATTCACAATTTAAAATATGAATGATTTATGTATAATTTTTTTTGTTAATTTTCTTCTGAATATTTTTTTTGTGTTGTATAAGTATGTAAGAATACATTAGTTTTAATAATAGTTTTGCATTAAATTCAAAATGAGTGAAATAAATGGTTTTATTAGACTGTGAATGTAGTATTTAAGTTATTAATGCAATACTTTATTTAGAGATCTGTATTAAGATGTGAATGAATTGACATTTAGTTGTGATTATTTTATAATTTTTTTTGTTTGCTTTTGAAATAATGTAAATTTTATTCACAGCTTAATATATTAAATTCACAATTTAAAATATGAATGATTTATGTATAATTTTTTTTGTTAATTTTCTTCTGAATATATTTATTTTTTGTGTTGTATAAGTATCTAAGAATACATTAGTTTTAATAATAGTTTTGCATTAAATTCAAAATGAGTGAAATAGATGGTTTTATTAGACTGTGAATGTAGTATTTAAGTTATTAATGCATGGCTTTATTTACAGATCTGATTTAGAAGAAAATGATGGTTGCGATGTGTCACACCCCGAAACCGATGGCGGAAACGTTCCGGGGCGGAGGACGTCATGTGTAGCATCACAACCAATGAATAATAGCAACCATAACAACACAACCATTACATTGAATACTTAAATAAAAATGTTTACATCAGTTTGGAACTTTGTCTGAAAGTTGGTTTGAATTACATTCAATAGCTTTGTATAGTATAAACATAAACTCTTATTGCTCCAGTTCCTCAAAAATCCAGCAAATACCTGTCTACTGATTTCCTGAGAATACAAGCAGTTTGAAAATATTAGCATAAAGTTGGTGAGTTCATAAGCGGTAGTTTGTAATGAAAATCGTTGATGGGTTCGTAAAAGTGTTTTGTATAGTTCCAACAAAATCCGATATTTTCTGTAGTAAAAATGTAGTGTTCTCAATTCTGTATAAAACCATGAATGTTTGTCACTGAAAACTGTAGTGATATGCGAAATTTTTACTTCATGTGACTAGCTAATGCTAATCATGATGTAATAGAATTTCGTGCGTGCAACCATTGTATATTCGTTTCTGTTTGAAAATCCTGAAAGTTCTCCAGTTGTAGTGTGTATTAGTTCTATTTAGTGTAAATAAAACTGTTGAAGAGTGTCAAGTTGTAAACTAAAGGTGATTTATACTTATTGTGAGTCGTATAACCATGCTTGATATGAGTAGAGACCTTTCCAACGTTCTTCAGGCGTCGAGTTAAATGACATTTCTCACCCTGGGCATGCCTGCCCAACTGTAGCTAGCAGTTCGGGTGTGGGATTGTCAGTCCCAAATAGATCTATTCACAAATCTCACGCTCTCCCTCCAGGAGACTCTGGTTATACTATGATAGGATTTATCCCTGTACACCTAAGGGTACAGTAGTGAAGTAGCGTCTCACAGTATCGTACAATCTAGTTTACATGTAGTGTAGTAGCGTTCTACCTTAGTGAAAATCCGTATGTATACCATATGTAGTGATAATTACAGTTATGAATACCATGATAAAGTAGTGATGTAAACTGTAAACCGTTTCTGTCTTAGAGCATATGTTTAGTAGTGAAAGTTTCTATACTTGATATGTTTAGAAAAATCCCAAACTATACCGATTATAGTGTAACATCCCGAAATTCAGGTACAACTATTTAGCCCTTCTTTTATTCAAAGTGTCAAGTTAAGCCCTTAAGAGGAATTGGTAGCAAATTAGTACGCTGGGCGTACTCAAGAGTACGCTGCGCGTACTCATGCGCTTATTTTGGACGCGGACTCGCCTGAGTACGCTGGGCGTACTCAGGGTTACGCTGGGCGTAATGTGTCCAGGTGCAAACCCTAATTTCTGACTTGTGCCCTATATATTGGATGCTAAGGCTCATTTCTCAGCCTCCCTAGCAGTGAGTAAAACCCTAAGAGAGAACTTCCCATCGTCCTTAGTGAGTATGTGTGATTTTGGAGCTAAAAGTGCCTTGGGGTGTTAGTGAAGAAGAAGGAGAGGAGCTTGTGGAGACTAGAGCTTGAAGTGCAAGTTTGGATCTGAGATCTACAGAGGAAGGAGCTGCTTTTAGAGGTATAAAGTTCAAAGCTTTCCTCTTCTTTTGGTTTGTTGTTGCATGGGCCATTTCTAGGGTTAAAAGTCCCAAAGGTGGAGACTTTATGAGTGTAAGGTGCTCCATGGTCCAAGATCTGTCCCCTTTCAGTGATATTTATGTTTTAGATCCATAAAGTTTCTATCTTGGTCGTTGATATGAGGACATGCTAGAGTTTTTGAGCTTTCTAGGGCTATAAGTGGTATATTTTGGGTGTTAGTGACTTGTTCAGCCATGCAAAGGCTTAAAGTTATCGACTTTATGGATTAAGAGGCTTAGAAACGGTCAGATCTAAAAGTTGGACGAGAGTCTTAACTGATTAAGACCTCAAGAGCTAAGGGACTGAAACTGAGAGTTACGCGGGGCGTAATCTCAGTACGCGCAGCGTAAGGGGTTGCGCACCTCGTTTCTGTGAGGACGCCGGGTACGCCCAGCGTACGTGTTTGGTACGCGCAGCGTAACCCGGAGGGTTGACTTTTGTTGACTTTTAGGGTTTGGTCAACTTTAGGGCCTTTGAGCCATGGGATGGGTAAAATGGTCTTTTACCCTTCTGAGAGTACTAAGAGGAGGAATAGTCTAGCCTTGAGAGATGTATTGATTTAGAGTGTATATTTCATATGATTAGGCGGGGGCTAGACTAGATTTTACAGAGTTCGAGCTTTACCGAGTTACCTGAGGTGAGTCTTCTCACTATACTTTACCTAGAGTGGTAACAGAGTTATGTGACAGAGTTATTGTATGCTATCTATGTGATTTGTGGCACGGCATTATTTCTATGTGATTTATGATGTGTGTATACCAGAGTTAGGACCGGAAGGTCCAAAGAGCTAGGACCAGAGGGTCCACAGAGTTAGGGCCCAAGGGCCCACAGAGTTATAGCCTCGAGTGGCTAATGTGTGTTATGTTCTATAGTTATGTGCCAGTGTATTTGTATGCTATTTACGTGTTGAGATTTATTGTGATATGTGATATGCATGATCCAGAGTTATCAGAGTTAGGACCTTTGGGTCCATAGAGTTAGGGCTAGAGAGCCCACAGAGAGTTGGGACTGGAGGGTCCCACTGAGACACACTGACCAGAGGGTCAGCAGAGTCATAGCCTCGAGTGGCTAATATGTGTTAGAGTGGTATTTTGGGGAACTCACTAAGCTTTATGCTTACGGTGTTATGTGTTATGTGTTTCAGGTACCAGTGGTGATCGCGGGAAGGCGCCGGCATGATCTGTACACACACCCGCAGAGTTTATTATGATTTGATCTTGGGATTTGTAGTGAGATAAAATTGATACATTGTTTTTGAAAGCAATTGTGGATGAATTTATATGGTTTTAAAAAGTGAAAAATTGTTTTGAAAATTTGGGTGTTACAAGTTGGTATCAGAGCCTTGGTTTGAGGGATTCGGATTCATCTTCGGGCGTATCTGAACTCAAACTGAGGATTTGAGAGAAATTTTGATGACTAAAAACTTTTTAAAAGAGTAAAAAGAGTTTTGAGACAAACAGAGCAGAGCCGTGTGTACGATCAGCCAGCGCCCGAACGGTG